AGCTGTCAAAGTCTAAGTCTAAATCTGAAACAAGCCTTTGTATTGTTTCAATAGGGAATGAGGATAGAAAGTATGACATATGCTAATAAACCATACTATTGGCGCCATCTTTTCTGGTGGTTATCTCCAGTCTGGGTCCAAAGGTTCCGTATCCCGCCTCTGTGATGGCCCTAATCTGGAACACATAAGCCGTGTCCGGTTTCAGGTTGTTGACGGTAACAGAGGTAGACTTGGACCTCACTGTGGAGGAGATCGGGTCCTTCTGATCCTGAAAAACACAAACACATCGATTCATAAACTTTGTACCCGTTAAAATTTAGAAGGTATATCAGGTTTTAAAAAGTAATCTTTTCTTTGAACAACAGAAGATGAATCAAGATAATGGGTGTAATTATCTGCACTTTGCAACTATTTAAGATGACAACAATCAGAATTCTCATATTAATATTCAAATGAGGCTTTCTTTACAGACAGACAATTATATTGCAGGATTTAGTGTAATGCACATTTCCACAGCATTAATTCCATGGGAGACACGCCACTTTACCCGCTTGACTACTCAGTCTTTTTTAAAAGCAATTAAAACTTTTGTTTTCCCATTCCAGCTCCTTCTACTTTTCATCTTCTCTGATTTTCTTTTCACTTGCTGCTTAGCAATTGCCAATTAAGTTTGCTACAGTTACTTAAAACCAGCTGCTTTCACAGTCCACCTTAAAAGGCTTGCAGAAGCTCAAATGAGTTAAACACCCAGCAGAAAAATGGTCCACCTGTTTGACAAAAAGGGAAACCTAGAGGAAATGTTCTTAGCACCTTCCCAGTGTCACTATTGTTTATTTATGGCAAAAAAAATATATTATTTTAAGTTGGAGATTAGTTTGACATCAGAAAACACCCTTTTTCTGTTAGATTAGGTGTGCCCCATGGCTTTGTCCTCGGACCTGTCCTGTTTTTCATCATCTATCATCTTCCTCCTGGCAATATAACCGAGAAATTAAATCCAGGTCTGCTGCTTTGCAGATCACATTCTGTTATACCATATCTAATTTAACACTTCTTCCCAATTCCTAAACCCCCTTCATTGAAAAATAAAAAAAAATCCAGACCGGATATTGTTTGTTTTCTGTCCACACCCCCCTGTTCCGTCCCCCCATCAGGTTAATAGCTCTGGTGTCATTTCAAACAGCTCATTATGTCCTCAAGCTCACGTCATTTATATCATTACTGCTGCATATTTTCAGTGACGCAGCATAAACAGCGGCAAATAAATATCTTAATATCTAAATATTGTTTTCCACAAAAGCTAATAATGATCCAACTATCTGTTCATGAATCGTTCTCCCTTCACAAACTGTTTTTCATAATCAAATAATTGGCATTCAGTTAGTTTGAAATATATAAACAGGGATTTTATTATTCAGGATATATAAAGGAAAATGCGTGAATGATTATTGTTGGAGGGAAGGTAACACATTCATGTAGTACTATTCTAATTCACTATAAAACAGTACAGTTAATATTTTCTGGATGGTTTTTAGAAACCTACGCTGCAAAAATGATCTAGAAATAAGTAAAAATGTGTTAAATTAAGTGTGTGTATCCTTAATCTGAGTAGGTAAATGAGATGATTGCCAATTGAATGAATATTTCACTTTTAAATAAGATAATTAGATAATATTCACTTCAAATAAGACAATGCAATTATCTTTTCTTATTTTAAATGTAAATTGTCTTGTTCCATTGGAGAAGTGTCTCACTTACCTCCTAAATTCAAGAAAAAATGCACTTATTTAAAGCAAGAATTATTGATTTTTAGATCATTTTTCCAGTGTATCAACTAGATACCTAAGATCTAACATTTTATAATACATTTACAGATGTAAAATGTACTCTGGTACATTTTGAGTAGAATAATTTTTTTGCCCTCTGAAGAACTAACGGACTGCAAAATAATGTTTTAAAATAAGTGCATTTGCATTGGATTTCACTAGGAAAGTAAGATGAGATGAATTTTACGGAAGAGGATTAGGGCCA